GCTAGTGCTGGCCTGATGGTATGAACTGCCCTAAGAATATTTAAATGAAGGAAGATAAAGACTCAAATTAAAAAAAATGCCCTATTTTGCTTTTGAACTTATGTGGCTTGATTCCGTTGGAAAGAAAATGCTGAGCTGCATTGACTTGAGGATGGCCTGATCCAGTAAATATCCTCCTGGAGATCTCTGGAAACCAAACCCTGTGAGGAACAGTTGAAAGAACTTAGGAAGAATTTTATGATAGTAAGACAGTGTTTGACAATGGCCCCTGGAAGTTGAAACAGAATGGACTGAAAAAAGGTTCCCCACCTTCTGCTTTAAATAGTATTTGCTGCTGCTGTGGTAAAGCAGCGGTCATTCAGGCAACTTTGGGGTCCACCCCTCCCATAATGCCTTGCTCAGGAAGGACCCTTGACATCTCTGACACAGGGGACAGAGATGCTTTCACCTGCCCTAACCTTATACCGTAGTTCCTCCGAGTCTCTGTTGTATCTGTGTGTGGTGCTTTGTTTTTTTTGCTACACATCTAACAATATTCCCAACCTGAACATCAGAAATAGAGAGAAATAGTAGTAGTAAATGTAATAATAGTTTGTCAGCTACTTTGAATGTGGACAGAGCAGATTTTAAATTACAAAACAACTACAAAACTCTTCCCCATCCAGTTTGTCATGATAAAGGCTGTACAAAATTCTGTGCTCACTCTGCAGCTCCAAAATTATTATTTCGACTTCAGTAGGAGCCAGACTTATGGCAGTGCACAATCTCTGAATATTATAGCACTGGAGGAAGGCAAAAAAGTGATTTTGGGTGACAAAACAGTCCCTTACCAATAGATCATCCCGTCTCTTTAAAAATAATATCTCCATTAGAAAGTGCTTTAGAATTCATGGCATGTGAAGCAATAACATTTAGTATGGGTTAGCTAGCAAGGGACCAATATAACTTTTATCAGTTGGTTTGAATGTGCAAGAAATATGTTCAAACTTGAGTGGATATATAGCCCTGCAGAGGCTTCCAGTTACTTAGATCTGCATTGTTTCTTCCAGGACCAGACTTGCTTTGCGCCAATATACATAAATATTGCTAGCTTTGGTGCTCAGATTCAGAATAAGCTATGCTAAGTGAGCTGGTTTGTTTAATGTGCATAATATATTCTGAGAAGAGTAAGCCTTCTGCCACAAGTCCTTCTTCATACAGCGCATAATTAAGCCACGGAATTGGTTCCCACAAGAGGTAGTGAAGGCCACCAACTTGGAGGGCTTGAAAAGAGGATTAGACAAATTCATGGAGGATAAGACTATCAATGGCTACTAGCCAAAATGGATATGGTTTACCTTCACTGTCAGAGGCAGTATGCTTCTGAATACCAGTTTCTGGGAATCGCAAGCTGTTTCACTCAGGTCCTCCTGGTTGGGCTTCCAGTGGTTATTTGATTGGCCACAGTGAGAACAGAATGCTGGGCTGGAAAGGGACACTGGCCTGATCCTGCAGGGCACTTCTTGTGTGCTTAAGCTTCATGAGTACGTGTGAGTGTGTGTTTGTTGGGGAGCATACTTCCCCTGACATTTTCCTCTTATATTTAATGTAGCTGACCAAGCTTCGGTCTCTAATTGAGACTAGGGAGGTGTGTGTGTTCACCTTCACTATTTCACCTGTGAATTAGGGACGGCCGAACCTTTCAATTTCAGCTTCTCATGCTCCCCGATCCCAAATTCAGTTCTCCATATTTCTGTGGCAATTCGCAATTTAAAAAAAAGAAATCCTCCTGGAAATCCATCAGCGTTGTAGTGCAACTTTCTTTTTATATATCCTTTTTTTTTTTGTATGCCATTGGGGCCAATGTGCACATTTTTGCAAGCCATTTCCTCATGTGCAATGCACCTATGCGTCGTATTTACGCTGTGGTATGAATATCTATACACGCTTCCTCCCAATACAGGCAAAATTGCTTCGGAAATTCAGAGAAGTGTGAATCTCGAAGGATGAGTGTGTGTTTGGTTCACATATCATTTTGGAAAGTGTAGTTTCTCATTAAATTGTGAACAAAAATGATTTTGCCCCCCTTCCCTTCTTTGACTGACCACAACAAAAGTGCACTACTTTTGGCATGCCAATTTCTTTTCTTCCGTGTCACCAAGAGCAACTTGGGGGGAGGGCATTTAGAGATGGAAAAGCATTAGAGAAGAGAGGGTTAACAGCCCTCTCACTCCCCCCTTCGTGTGCTGGTCTCCTGGTATAGAGCAGCTCCTGAAGCGTGTCTACATGTGATTAACATTATATGTTGTTTGAGCCTTAGTTGGGCAGTGCATGGGAGCTTGGGAACTGGCTGCTATAAAGTCTACGGACAACTTTGGTAGTATAATATCCTTGAAAGAGATCTGTTTTAAAATCTTTTACAACCCATCTGCGCTCCACCATTAGGCATGCTTGGGGATAAAATGCTTTATTTCACAGATACCAGTTTGTATCTGGTACCATAAACCTGAGAAATTGCAAATCCAGGCCTGCTGGTTAATAAAATGGAGACATGATTGTGAAAGTGAAAAGGGAGACATTGTAAACCAGAACTTTTATTTTCCTAGTATGACGTTTTGACCTGCTGGAGACAGACTTTGCCATTCAGCTGTACTGTTACTATGCTTAATAGTAATAGCAAGAGTAGTAGTGCTTTCCTTTGCATTAATATAGTCTAAATTCCAAAGTACGTGTACCTGTATGTAATATAAACTTTAACTATAATTCTGTGCACAGTTTTCTCTCAATTGTTGCATGCCTGTGCGTTTTAACTATGCTGAACTCAATTATGCTTTTCAACTTGCACCAAAAATAAGCATAATTCCCTAATGAATATTCCTCCCTCATTTGCAATGCAATATAAACTTATTCAATAAGATTCAATCAAGGTCTTGCAGTTCTTTAAGGAAGTATACACACATAACCCAACTATTTTTCTTTTTTTCTTTCTTTTGGCCCCACATTTATCAGAAACCTGAAATGTAAGCTGGGAAAGTCTTCACTAGTGTTGAGATAAGTGATGGAAAAAGCTTTGCCTGCTTAACGTCCATGTGTTGAATTAATGTTAAAGATGCAAGAGCAGGAGAAAAAAACAAAACAAAACCAAAGCGGCAACCCTAGGCTCATTCCAGCATTTTTGTGGTTGCAAGAGGTCTTCTTCTTCTTCTTCTTCTTCTTCGATGGGAGCTGTTTCTCCACTGAAGTGTACAGAGAAGAAACTCAAGCAGAATTTCTGTACCTACACCGAAACAAACAGAAAGGGCATTTGCCAGCTCTATACACAGCAGCTGAAAGAGCAAGACCAGTGCAAGATTAAATAACTGCATCTAGGAGATGCTGGCGCCCATGATATGGTCACAGTAAGGAAACTGGAAAAAGCGATTTCTCTGTAGTGAGCCATCTCCATCCTGATGCCTGCAAATACAACACAACTGTTGGTGATCCAATTTAATTTCTCTGTTTGGCATCATTCTCTCTCCTGTTTAATTTAGTTTTAAGCTTTTCAATTAGGTCGGCTTGCTTGCATTGTTTCTTACACTGTTGTATGGATTTTTTTGTATTTGTATTTTGATATAGTGTTAGGATTATTGATTATTTCACATTTTTCTAATATTCTTTTTTGCATTGTTATAGTTCATTTGATATTCTGTGAGCCACTTTGGACGGAGTTTTGTGGAAAAGTGACATATAAATAAATGGATGATGCTGATCATGGATCCACTCTAAAAATACAGTTGTGGGGGGGAATTCTTTTCAAAACAATCTGAAATTGTTGGAGTGGGGAGAAAAGATGTGATTTTGAGTCCTGAAAGAAACCTGGGATCCTAAAGGTTAGAAACATATGCAGGTACAATCTCCTGCGGGGCTCTGCTGATGCTAACACTGCAGCTCACACAACATAAATAAATCAGCTTCTCAGCTTTCCCCTATAAGCTTAGGCTCATTATTCTGCATTTCTGGTAGCCTGTGTTAAACAGCAGCAAAGTGGCACATGGCAAACTGGAGAAATGAGATGAGGAATGTCTCTCCTGCGAGGGAGGGGAGAGATATGAGGTGACCTGTCACCCGATTCATCAGCGTCTCCCAATTTCAGTTGAATGCCTCCTTGCTTTCTCATCGCACATGATGTAACACTAGATACTTGAGACCATGCTTGACCGCTCCATAGAGGCCAATTAAATTGAACATAGGGTAATTTTATATTGAGACTCCCAACCTTCTCCAGCTTGTGTTATAGAAGGTAGAGCAAAGATAATGGCTCCAGATAGCATTGATTGTCAAGATTTCATTCTTGCCAAAGTACTAGACAAGGAAAATGGGTGAACAATGCCTGTGCAATGCATCTGTTTATCGCTTCAACAAGTAGCCCATGAGACTGTTTCAAATCCAATTGTACTCTTAATTAAAGGAGTCATAATTGATTTTATTTCAGGGAATTGTGTGCACAGATGGGTTGGGGTCTAGCGGCTAGCCATTGCCAAATCACAGCACCAATGCCCTGGCATGATTTTTACCATCATTTGGAATTCATCCCATGATCTAGAACAGTATTCTTCAAACTCGGGTCCCCTGATGATTTTGGACTACAACTCCCATCATCCCCAACCACTGGCTAAATTGGGTCATGATGATCAGAGTTGTAGGAAAGCAACATCTGGGGACCAAAGGTTGAAGAACAGTGATCTAGAACTAGAAGGCATCTCCATAATATCATGTCCATGTCACTACCAAATTTCACTTCCAATGAAATTCTAGGTGAATGTAAAGATTCATACATCAGCAAAATGCCAAGAAATGTCAAAGGACTTAAAACACACACACACATTCTTTATTTTACCCTTCCACCAGTGAGCTCAGTGTGATAGACACATAAATATAGGGATGTAGGAAGCTGCCTTATGCTCAGTGAGACCCTTGCTCCATCTACACACACTGACTGTTCACAACTCTCTTGAGTTTCAGAGGATATTCCCAGCCCTACCTGGAGATGCCAGGGTTCAAATCTGAGACCTTCTGAATGCAAAACAGGTGCTCTACCACTGAATTAAGAACCTTTCCCAAAGGTTCTTCCTCCTGCAATTTTATGACAACTTGTAAAGTAGGGGAGGTTGAGAGATGGTAACTTCACTAAGTCACTCAGGGATGTATTCCATCTGAAGGGTGATTCAAACCCAGGTCTCCTCCATCCTAGAAGGAGAGGGAGACCAGCAAAGTATCATAGCTCTGAGGGTGATGAGAGCAGTTTGCACATCTTTTAGCTTCTGCAACGTAAATAGGGAGGGGCTATAGCTCAACTATAGAGCACCTGTTTTTCATGCAGAAGGTTCAATCCCTAGCATTTCCAGGTAGAGCTAGGAAGGATCTCTGTCTGAAATCCCAGAGAGCCACTGTCGCTCAGTGTAGACAATACTGAGCAAGGTAGACCAATGGGTTGACTTAGTAAAAAGCAACTTCCTCTGTTCCAAACATTCAGAATTCACGCCGTTTGGTAGGTCCAAGCTCAGGGCAAAAACATTTGGGATCCAAATGTGAGAAAAAAAGTCTGAAGCATCCTATCTGATGAGATGCTAAGACTGAAACTAAGAAATCTGGGAATGGAGCACAGTTGCGGTCATGTGATTAAGTGTGGGAAAGCGTAAGACCCATTTGTGGTGTTTCCAGTTATAAATCATGCAGCAATCAGCTGGTCTGATGAACATACTCTAAATACCACTTATTTGGATTTGAAATCCTGATTAGCTGGATCTTTTAGACATGAGTTGGTGCCTCAAATAATAAGATATCCTTGGCATCTGAAACAGTCTTTGGTCAGTGAGCCTTTATCAACTCTTTAAGCAAAGCTTTGGTTTTCTGGGGCCTGGATGAAAAGCTCTGAGGGGTGTGTGTGTGTGTGTGTGTGTGTGTGTACACATGCACATAAGTTTCTGGCTCCAGCTGCCATTGCTCAAAGCCATTTTTTTTTTATAAAAACATTCAGGCCCATTTAACATAACACTAATTCTTTCTGTTGACTAAGGGCAGTGATGAAACTTTATCCCTTTACTTTTAAAGCAGAGACAGCTGTTGGTAGCTGCTACACATAAGCAGAAAGAACTCCGTCCAAAATATGCATGTTCAACAGAGTTCTTTGGAAGTATGTTGTATGACAAAACCACAAAAACTGGGAAAATCCACCAAAACATATTAATTATTTCAAATGGAAAGTCTTTTCTCTCTCTCTTTTCCTTTCCTTAAAATTTGGATGCCCTTTGGCTGTGTTGTCTTGAGAAAAGGTCATGTTTTGTGTGTGTCTCTCTCTGTGTATTATAAGAAAATAAAACGTCTTAATTTTGCAGCACTTTCTTTGATGCAGGCCAATTTCTTTTGACACATGTTTCCAGTTTGTTGTATAGCACTGCAATGAAGAAATGCAAATTGCCCATTATGAGCCTTCTTGAATCAAGAGCACCAGTTTGCCAAAAAAGCTGGAAACTTTTCAAATAAGTAAAATATGGAGCTTGGATTGCTGCTCTTTCTCTCTCTCGATCATTCTCTCTTGTGCACCTTGTTTTGCAAATTAATTTCAGCTCTTTCATAGATTGCACTTTATGAACTCAAGGCAGATAAGAGAAAGAAAGAAAACAAGTCTGGGTGACACTTGATAGCTGGACATCTGCTGCCCCAAACCTTGTCACTTTTTGTGCTTTGCCTTATCTTCAAAATTCCTGTGGGACGTTCCATTTGGGAGAAATGGAACCCTATATCTGGAGGGTCACAGATTCTCCCTCCATGATCTAGGACTTTCCCCATCAGTCTCTGCAGTGTGCAAAAGTCATGGGTAATTTCATTGTGGTGAAAGTTCTTTGTAGGTGGAAATGCAACTCTGCAATCCTAGACACACTTCCGGGGGGGCTTGGGGTGTTAAGGTGCTATTGGACTCAGTAGGGTTACTTCTCAGCATATATGCATAGGCTTGAATTGTAAAACGTTAGTATTTTATATTGACAGAAAAATGCCCATCATAATAATATTTCTTTCTGAAATGTTAGGTTAATAAAAGTCTGCTTTACTTAGTTTCTGTCTTTCTACATTTTGAGCACACAAATCCATTTGCTAGGTAGCCATGTAGGCTTTGACAAGATGTAACTGCAAATGTTCAAATAAAAAGGGAGGGGTTACAGTTTTAAGAAAACCAAAACACTAACTTGTCACTTCCCTGGTTTATACAGAGGGGGAAATGTTATGTATCTTGAATAATTTATTTATCAAACCTTCAATGTGTTTCCCACATGGGATTCATGAAGAAAAATAATATTTTTGTTGCAAGGAGGGCATGGAGGAAGGTAACTTCACAACTGGAAATCTAATTAGCAAATGGAAATCTAATTAGCACCTCATTGCTGGAGCTTTCCCCAGAACTCATACGAAGCCTTAAAAACCATTTTTTGTATGCCTGAAGTAACCCTTCAAGTTTATTATACCTGAAGTGATTTCTTCAAACATGAAAAGGCATAGCCAAGATTCAGTGTTCATTTTCTTAATTTGTTTCCAATTGACTGGTGCCAGTTTTGGAACACGAAGTCCCATGTGCACCTCTGCCAAGTCTACTGCTATCCCAAGTTGCAGGTCTGGCTGATGGGAAGAGGAAGGCATGATGGGTAATCCTTGGTTTCAGGTCAAGACTCAAGCCCCTCTTCCCATTTAGGTACCTATATGTTTGAAAGCTGTGTACTCCACATCTAGTTTAAAGATAAAGGACCCTAAGAAGGGAGGCCTGCAGGGGGCTCAAAGTTGCCCATCAATAGTTAGACTGTATTAGATTTTATTTTGTTTTAGTTTAAAGCTGATTTTATTCATTGCTTTGAGCTACTTTTGTTATTGAGCTGATTTTATTCATTGCTTTGAGCTACATTTGCATAAATAAAAAGCTATTAATAAGCTTAATACATAATAAGTTGAATTATTATTATTATTATTATTAATAATAATAATCAACTGGAGCAGTCATTTTCAGTTTCCTATTTTTCTAATCTTAAAGTTCAGTTCTCCACATTTCCACATCAGCTTGTCACTTAAAAAAGAAGACCCCATGAAAATTCATCAGTATTATTTATTTCTTTATTGCCCTCTCTTCACCCAAAAGTCCCAGGGTGCGTCACAACATTAAACACAATATTAAAAACAGTTTAAAATAGCTTGCAATCACAAAAATCAGGTGGGTCCTAAAAAATATACAGCTCAAGTGTCAAAAGCCAGAGTAAAGAGGTATGTCTTATAGTGAGAATTTCTCCTCATATCTCCTGATATAGTGCATTTTTTTGTATGCTCTCTCTCCTAATATACATATTTCTAGGCACACTTTACCCCCATTGCCTAGTATGTGCATCATTATATCACTTGACTGCTTGCAAAGTCTAGTGAAGTGTGAGTTCTGAAGGCTAGCTGTGTTTTGGTTCATGTATTGTAGAAATTACAAATGTGGCAGGCCTGTCTTCAAAGGCAAATTGAACCAAGTTTCTCTCCCACCGCTGGAAGGCCCATAGCTCACCTGGTCACCGTCTCCCTCACTATGGTGAGATGAATTGCATGTCTATATAAATTATAGTAATCATTTCTAAATTGGCATGTAAATATACATGAACATTAGCCTATGCAAATGTTCTGGAAATCTATGCCTTTTTTGTTGTCTTGTTTTCATTTTTGATGATAAGCACCTTGCCATCCTGTAGGGAATATGCCATCTGTTGGGAACCATACTTGGGTGTGTGTGTGTGTGTGTGTGTGTGTGTGTGAAGAGAGAAATCCCTCAACCCAGAAATATTTTGTTAGGTGGAAGGGAGCTAGCACCTTGAATTCTGTACAAATTACAAGTCTTCTATTACTCCACCCTCTTATGAGGCAGTCACTAACAAGATAAAATTTTGGGGTTGGCCAAACTTGGGAAGGAAAAAAAAAAGGAAGTCATTTCAGAATTTATTTAAGTAGCTTTACGAGACTCTCAGGTAAGAGGCTGTCACTCATTATACTGCAGATTAAATGCAATATCTGGGTGAATGATGTGCTAAGCAATCAAGATGGATTACAAAACAATCTGTTAAGGCTACAATAAATATTTATATGCCATCTTCCTTGTAGAACATTTATCTGTCGTTCCGTTTAGAGCAATGAAAAACCTGGAACAAAGGGAGTAATGTCTACATTGTTCCATTGCTAAATAGGATATCTAATAAGGGAGACAAGAGAAGGGAGTAGAGTGAGCCAAATTCTTTATGAACACAACAGTGGAGCAATTAAAACAAATGTGATTTTCCAGATCAAAACTTCTGCCTGCTAATTGCTATATGGCACCTATCCTAGTACTACAAGTTTCCCCTTCCAGCTGTTTTTATTTCACGATGCATTCTGAAATCCTCCAGAGACCAGTCTGGAGAAATGACACCACGATGCTTAGCCTGAAATGCAGAGCAGCTTTTGAGCATTTAGGAGTTTGCTGAGATGAACTGTCGTAAGGGAGGCCACCAAGAACAACCGGCACTGCATGCCATTAGCATTTTCTTTGCAATATGGTTCCAGTGAAGATAACTCATTGATGCAAAGTATGTGGCTGGGACTATGTGCAGGCAAACTCCAAGAGGCACATTGGGGTCTTTTGCTGCTCTGCTCATAATGACCAAGGACTATAATTACTTTGTGCACTTAACTAATATATACATAACAGCAGCCTTTGGGACTACCTATGCTCTTTGGTTAAGTCTGAGGCACTGAACATGCACCCCTGTAGGTGGCATCTGGGCTTACCAGGGCATGTTCATTTATTTATTTATTTGAAATGATACCCTCTCACATGCTAAAGGGCAACTTAAAAAATAAATAAACATGACTGCAACATTTAATGGATGAATTGATTAGATTTTTAAAAAATAAATACAAAAGATTAAAATGTTGTCTCCAATTAGTCAGTAGCAGATTGGTGTTTAAATTTATTTTTCTCAAGAAGTGCTTATGAAAAACTCCAGATGGCATGCCCTCGTGGAATGAAATTTATCACCCTATGCCAATGCTTATACTTCTCAT